CTAAAGAAATATGGAGAAGGATAAAACAAATGATTAATTTAAAATCACAAGGACTCTGTATTCCAAATAAAATTGTTAAGGACAATCATGAACAAATCTAAAAGAGATTGCAAATGAATTTAACAGTTATTTCTCTAATATTGGTAATAAATTAGCATCTTTAATTCCACAAGCTACTAAGAATTTTGATTTCTATTTAGATAATCCGCAGACTTCAAGCYTTTTATTGTTTCCTACTTCTTCTTTGGAAATAGAGAATGTTATTTCTACTTTCAATTCTTCAAAGGCATGTGGACCTTTTAGTATTCCAACATGTTTGTTGAAGACTTTGAAAGTGGTCTTATCATATCCATTACAGATAATCTTCGATCATTCCTTTGCGTCACGTACAGTTCCTGACCAATTTAAAATAGCAAAGGTGATTCCCATTCACAAGAAGGGTTCTGTTCATACCATCTCCAATTACAGGCCTATTTCATTATTGTCTAACTTCAATAACATTATTGAAAAGTTGATGTGTAATGGACTTGTTAGTTATCTAGAAAAGCCATCTATCTTGATTAGTAATCAATTTGGATTTAGATCCAAACACTCCACCATTCATGCTCTTTTACTTTTGGCTGATAAAATCCAGACTRCAGTTGATAAGGGTGTCTATTCTTGTGGTATATTTTTGGACCTGAGTAAGGCATTTGATACTGTTAATCATGATATATTATTATCTAAACTTGAGTATTATGGTATTCGCGGTAATGCATACAATTGGTTTGCCTCTTATTTATGCAATAGGCAGCAGTTTGTTTCTTTGAGGGGCACCGACTCTGATTATCATTTAATCTCATGTGRTGTACCACAAGGATCTGTTCTAGGTCCATTATTATTTTTACTATATGTTAATGATATTTCAAAAAGTTCAAATATCTTAGAATTTCATTTATTTGCTGACRACACAAATTTGTTTCTCGCTGATAAAGATGTACATAGCTTAGAAAATAACTTGAACAATGAATTGCATAAAATAAGCCAATGGTTGTATGCGAATAGATTATCATTAAATATTGATAAAACTAATTTTGTAGTTTTCCATCTAGTCCACAAAARAAAGTGAGGCATAAGTTATCTCTTGTTATAGCTAACAAACTAATTAAACATGATAGCCATGTTCGATATCTCGGTCTTATTTTTGATTCAAATCTAAACTGGAAAAAGCATATATATGAATTAGGCAAAAAGGTTTCTCAGGGTATTGCAATCTTATCTAAGATCAGACACCTTGTCAACAGCAGTCTGTTGATTCAATTGTATTATTCTTTAATTTTTCCTTTTTTAATCTATGGCTTGCTGTTGTGGGGCAACAATTATCAATCTAATTTAATAATCTAATAATCACCTTTTTCTAAACTAGATGATCATTCAGAACCTTTATTTAAAGAGCTTGGGCTATTGAAGTTAATTGACCTAGTTTATTGTCAAAATGCACTTTTTATGTATCAGTATCATCATCATTTGCTTCCCAAAGTCTTTGATGAATTCTTCAAAGAAATTTCAGCTGTACATCAATACAATACTAGACTTGCATCAAAATCCTCGTATTATATTAATTTCGTAAGAACAAATTATGGTAAATTTAATGGTTTTTCAGCAGCTTCTGTTTGGAATGAACTTAATGAAAATCTTAAGGGACTTTCAATCAAGATATTTAAATCAAAGTTAAAAGAACGATTATTAGCTTCATACAAAAGCAACTGAGTCTTCATCTGGTATTGGTTTGTT